ACTCGAACAGCAGTCGACTACATGGGAGTCCGGCGACATAGCCATTATGCTAACTACTGGTCCCAAGATTTTAGAAAAGTTTCTATAGGCCATATAACGTTAGATAGGTGTTGGTATTCCAGAATTGAAACATATAGTTACTTTAAATAAATAAGGACTATGAAAGTCTCACAACAGTTCAGATCTTGTTCTCTTAAAAATGGATTGTAAGATTAGGTTTGACATCAAAGAAACAGAAAGCTTTCAGTTTATAAGATTTCTAAAATGGTGAGTTTCAGATAATTCTGCCAACTTGTATTACCCATCTTTGTACAGCTATTATTGGCAAACCTGTTTTTATGCTCAGCTTGTCTGGTACACAGTCTCTCTTTTTTTTTTTTTTTATTTTCCCCATAAAAGGGATAGTCTTAAGAACTTAAACTTTAATGTTATTTCCTCTTTGCTGTCCACTGTTTCTATAATTTCTTTTTGAACCCTCATTTCATTTCTTGTTTTCTGCCAGTCTCCATAACTGAAACAGTGGTGGGCACTTAGTGAGTACTTGTTAAATAAGCGACTCGACTCTCACGTGTTTTGTCATAGCTTCGTTCATGTCCGTAGGTGTTTCCTAACACAGCAGGTGAAAGGCAGAAAAGGAGAAAAGGAGCATCGTTAGTTTGTATGAATTCCTTCCTATCTGGTTTCACTATATAGTGCAGTCTTCTAAAATAGGTGCACATGAAAACTACCATATCATTATTACAGATGGTGAGAATGACTGTGGAGCCAGCAGTGGAAGTGAGTTCATACTTTACTTTCTTGATAGATTTGCTGTAAAAAATACTTCATTTCCTTTTGCATATTTTTGGAACAGTATGCCCTAATTTTATCTAGTGGAAAGAGCACTCTTAGAGGAGTTGGGAGAACTAGATCTAACTCTAGCTTTGCTAGTCATTACCCATCACATTGGGAAGTCTCAGTTTGGTTTAAAGTCTTGGTACCCTCATACCTAAAGTTCAGGAGGGTGAAAGTTGATCTGAATAAAATTTTTGTCAAGTTTTCATTTGAGTAAACTACTTCCATGCCCAGGGAAGCATTGCCCCAAGGTGAAATAAGGCACCCTATAGATAGAGCTGGATGTTCCCCCACAATTCTTGGGCTGGGACTCGGTTGTATTGTAAAGGTGTTAAATGCAAACTTATACCTTCATGGTGTGATAAGATTATTATGGCAAGGCTCCTAGGATTGAGTTCTGGTTTTGTAAGAGGAGAAGAGAGACCAGAGGAGTAGAGACTTGTGGACAGGTGCCCTGCTCAAGCTTCTGCCCTCTGCCATACTGTGTCCTTACCAGAGCTTGGTCTTAGCTTCACACCTCCAAACCATGAGCAGAATAAGCCTCTTATATCTTCATAAATTACCCAGTTTCCAGTATTTGTTAACAGCCCAGTAACAAACTAAGACACATCCCCATCATGGCATCCACTTTCTCTTTACTTTGCCTGAGATTAGTTCTCTTTCTACCTGGGATTTCCTTTCTCTTAGTTCTGTGGCTGTCAGCTGAGGATAGGAGAATCAGTCTGGAAATTTCAGATGTGATATGGAGAAGATTTGGAGCATGGTACTCATCCCTTAACTGTTTATGCCTTATAGAGAGATTTTGCCCCGTGTTGCAGTTTAGATAAATGCCAGAATGCTGTTTTGCCCTCACAGATTTCTCTGACTCGTGCTATCTTTTAGTCCTTAGCTTATCCCACAAAACTTCTGTACACTCTGATCCTTTCGCTTTAGCTTTCCCAAGGCTCACCACTGCCCTATGTTCGTTCTCTCAGCACTTGGGATTTAAGACTCCTGTGTGCCCATCTGCCTCTGAGAACCCAACCCTTGGCAAATCCACCTCTGGACTCTTGCTCTGGGTAGAAGTCACTGAACCAGAACGTTGGGGTACGCTCACTGCTCGTAAGAGAATACCCACTTCCTCTCTCAGTTCTCTCTTTGATGTTAGCTGTTGTTGGTAGCACTAGGCATCTCAAGTGTTTTTAAGGTTCACAGCCCTGGCAGCAGTCTGAGTACTGTTGGAAAGAACGCCTACTTGGATTTGAGGCGACTGTATAAGGGCATATCAGCAGGTGGCTTTCAGCTTTCTTCCTTAGCCAAAAAATTGAACAGGAGAGACAAGCTCAGAGTATGCTGGGGAGGACTTAGCATGTGATTACGTGGTCACACCCAGCCGGAGAGAACTGGGGCACCACACCATCGAACCAGGGACCTGCAGGGTCACTGGAAACTGATTTTAGATGGAGACTTTAGACTGGTGTACATTCAGTTTTAACTGATTCCCTGCTGGAAAACAAAATCTTCTGACATTCGGTATTTTATCTGCTTGTGTGGTGTACTAATAGTGTGGGCACAGGCAACAGAGAAAGAGACATCCTGGGACTTTAGTCTGTAGAGCTGGACAAGAGCGCCAAGGCAGTATGAAAAAGGGTGTTTATAATGTAAAGTGGGACTCAGAAACTATGTTCCTTTGTAGGGTTTCGGACAAAAACAGCAGGATTTTATGTTGTCAGCATTCTCTTTTCTAGCCACTATAATTAAACCTAGAATGTAAAGCAAATGCTGGAATCTTATTAAAAACATACTGTTTGCTGCCATGTTTCCACCAGTTTCACCAGACATAAGGATCAATAGGCAGTAATAATAATGTACTCTCTTGGTGCCACCAGGTAGTGTGATGGTTAAGGTGCTGACCCCACACAGCTGACTCTGTGGTTCAAGCCTTGGACCCAGTTGCTTTAGAATCATGCCAGGCACTTGTGTGTGCATGCTCAAAATCCCAACAGGAGAATGGAGGAGAGGGGATTGTGGCATGGCCATCCTTCCCAGAGGGTGATTTCTCACTTTCCCTCTTTCTCTGTCTCTCTCAAGGGAATGCAAACCTTCCCAGAGGGTGATTAAACAAACAAACAAACAAAAAACAAACAAACAAAAACAAACAAACAAACAAAAAATCCTGGGGAAAAAAAGAATGTACGGTTTTTGCTGCCATGAGGTCTCCCAGGACCGATAGTCAGGTATCGGTATTCTGGTACCCCAGGCATTACCACACATGAGCTCATTAACGCGTCTCTAATTTCCCTTTCTTCTCCTTCCCCTCCCTTCTTAGCAGTCACTCCCTGGGAAGCTCCTTGAGGTCAGGGCCATCTCACCAACACACTGTGGCCCCCAGATCACACTGTTGCCTGTGCCAGGGTCTCCTGGATCTTCTAAGCGTGAACCTTAAACTGCCAAAGTGGTCGTGCTGTGTTGGAAGGACCTTACTGTCTTACCTCAGAAAATCATACTTGTACTTTACAACTCTTTGAAATGCCATCCAGCTTCTTATAACTGCCTTTGCCCATAGAACCAAATAGGAATCCATAGAAATATTGAATATTAGGGTTAGGAACCAGTACTGGAAGCATACTTTTCCCCTGAGTGGTTTCCTTCAAATGCCTACCAACACAATTTCTCTGAAGCTCTTTAAGGCTAAAAAACCAACCAAACCAACCTATATAAGACTATCTACCACTTAATGAGTCATGCCCAGAAATTTCTGAATTCCACATTAGATTCAGTCTAGGAACTTAAAGATAACAGTGACCATTATCTTTAGATTGTAGGGGTTTCCTTCTTTTTTTTTTTTTTTTTTTCTTTTTTTTTTTTTTTTTTTTTTTAAACACTTT